ATGGCCTCCTCTGGACCCGCTCGAGCAAGTCAACGTCTTTCTTGTCCGGAGGGGCCCCAGAGCTGGACGCAGCCCTGCAGGGAGGGGTCTCACCAGAGCAGAGCAGAGGGGCAGAATCCCCTCCCTCAACCTGCTGCCACGCTGCTGGTGATGCAGCCCAGGATGCAGTTGGCTTTCAGGGCTGTGAGCGCACGTTGCTGTCTCATAGTCGGTTTTTCATCCACCATGAATCAGTCTGTTTTAATTCTGAAAGCACTCTAAGTGTTGGTTCATCCTCTCTGGTAGGACCAGACCTGTTCCACATGCCTCTCAGTTTGATTTTTGTTCTCTGGCATCACCTCTCCCGCTGTGAGGTCGCATCTTCAGGTTTAATACAGAGCAGGTTAGCCCTGCTTTGCCTCTGACGCTAGCGAAGAGTGAGCCAAAGAACACTTCTCCTATCGCCTGCTGGTTTGTCAGTATTTAATGCTCCTTCTGTGTGATTCACACTCTGTAAGAATTTCTCTTTTTTTGTATTGTTCCGTGCGGGCAGTGTTGTTGCTTAAGGAAGTTCAGTGCTTTCATTTCTCCGTGGCTGACTGACAGCTTCAGCTACTAGCCCGCATGGCACAGCTTTCTGTCTCGGGCCTGCGCCGCTTCCGAAGCGCTCCCTGCAAGGCAAAGCCAAACACGTAGGGTTCTCTGTAGGCTGCTGGAGGGGAACCAGGAGTGTGGTGAGTCCAGTTGTGTAAAAATGTAATTTTGGTGAAGCTGATGAGTGTTTTCAGTCTGGCTCATGCTGCACAAAGGGTGTTCCCAGTGTAGTGTCACTGCACTGCTGTTCGTGCAGTGAGCAAGGAGCTGGAGGGAGTGGCTGTGCATACCAAGGGGGAAAAAAAACAAGGGAACAAGGACCTCAAGGATTCCAGAATTTTTCCGTTTTCATTATCACCATGTGCAGTGTAACTAAGCCTGAGTGTAAACCTTTCCTTTGATACACAAGCAGGTTGTGTATCAGCTGAGCCCATTTCTTTTTAAAATGGGGTTGCTTGTATTCAGGTGTGTCAGATGGCTTTGTGATGAATAATTAGCACATTTATTAATCATAAATCTGTCTTTTCACTTTGGAAGCAGAGACATCAACCCAGGACCCCAGTCCAGTATGGCTTAAGTGTTGTCCCGTGTACCTGGTGTGCATAACTCTGTATTTTTGTTTCTCTTCTTTAGATGACGAAAGTCGCACAGAATCAAAGCTTCAACACGAACAAGATAGATCCAATTCCCTTCCCATTCCTTCCGTTGCCAAGCGAATTGTGCTTGGTGATTCTGTCTGTAACGTGGCAGGCACGGCTGACCATACAGGCAGCATGGCAGACCTCAAAGGGGAGAAGGACTTGTTCAGTAAGACTCCAGAGCTTGTCAGCGAGGGTACAAGCGAACTCCGTCACCGTCACAGAGGGGAGCTGCCGTCTGAAGCCGCACCCAGGCCCCCTAGACATGGATTAGAGCAGTACTTGTCCAGATTCGATGAAGCTCTGAAGTTGAGGAACCAGCTGATGACGGAGAAGCCAAGCCAAGAGAATGGGAATGCGATGGAGGAGTTTGACTCTTTCCGCATTTTTCGGTTGGTGGGGTGTGCTCTGCTTGCCATAGCGGTCAGGGCCTTTGTGTGCAGATACCTGGTGAGTTCAGGGGAACGAACAATGCTGTTCTGGTTTGCTGGTTTACTGTGAAGTGCCCTTTATCTGGGGCTGAAGTCTGTCGGTAGTGACTGGGTTGGGGACTTCAGGGACTCTTTACATTTCCCGCAACTGTATAAAACCTGAAAAAATCTCTCGATTCTTTGAGATTAATCTGTGTTACCTCGCTAACACAGCCACTATATAACAGCTGAGAGTAGCCCACGTTTGGTCCGTAGTATTTGAGAAGCAGAAACACTGGAATAGTTGTTGCAGCTTCAGTCCCCTGCAAGTTTATTCCCATCTTTGTGAGCATGAGTCAACTGCTCTTCTAGTTTGGAGTCTACAAAAGAATAATAGAGTAAGAACAACAATAGCTGTCCCAAGATGCACAAATCCTACTCATTTATCAGTCTCCTGAGAAAAGTAGTTCCTCACTGTCCCCGGTGTGTGCGGGTACCCGGTACGGCGGTGTGTGCCTGGTGCAGCCTGCCACCTCCTGGATTGCTGGGCTCGGTTTCACACACTGCTGTTGGCTGCTGTGATTTCAGGTTTTTAGGCCCAAAGAAAGTAAGGCAGAACCTTTTTTTTGACGTGTAACTTTTCTGCTTAGGTCTGTAGCGTTCAAGAATGCTGTGCTGTTGTCCGCAAGTTATTTTTTTGCTTAATTTTCTTTTATGACTTGGGAAGCATTAAACTTCTGTGTTTTCTTCGCTGTTACGTCTGACCAAGTTAATTTTCATATATTCTTTTCTGTTCCTTCAGTCCATATTTGCACCATTTCTTACTCTACAACTTGCTTACATGGGACTGTCCAAGTACTTTCCAAAGGTAAAATGTGTTTTTTTTTTTTTTTCCAAATTAGATTAATTTGAAATGTTTTAAATTTAACCTTGTGCTTAGATTGTATTGCTTTAGGACCAATGTATGTGAGGTATTCTTCCCTTGGTTTAAATTGTAGAATTGAGATGCCAAATGCTGATAGTTTATACTAGTTTTTAATCTTCCCAGATTAGTCCAAATCTTTTTTAAAGCTGCTGTGAAAACATGGATTAGCAGCAACTTGTTTACTTGTAGCCTAATGAAAAGCATCTGACCAGGAGAGCTGGGCAGTTCTTTCATGTGTTGAGGAAACTTTTGCTTTTCTCCTAGACTGTGCTCTTCTGTGGTTACTGTTTGCTGTATCAGCAGCTGTTTTGCATGTGGTACCTGGATGAAATTTGGGAGCGTTCGTTAAAAAATGAGACAGCCCTGGGGTTTTCAGGGCTCTCCATTCCATCGCTGGTATCTGTTTGAATGGCAGCTTGAAATGAGACATTTATTTGTGTGTAAAACTTGCTGCTTATTAGCAAGAACTGCTGTATCACTTGCTTTATATAGTTACACCAGTTAATTGTGCTGAAGTATTTGGTTGATGATTTTGTCAGCGCAAAGCAGGATTGAATAATGCTCAACCCGTAGTTGAAAGGGAAAATTTGCATTTTAAAAGGAGTAACAATTACCTGTAGAAAATCAGAATAAATCAGTTCTTCTGTAGTTAAGTATATCATTGAAAGCTAAACTTCACAGTAGTCATTCTAAGGTGACATGTCACAACACAAAACAGTAGAATTAGCTTAGCCTTGCACTAGCTCATCTGCGAGGTCTTTTCGATCTTGTGCTGAAAGCTTAAAGCTCTTCTATTTCAGCATTAAAGAGGTTGTTCCTTCCCACAACTTGCTTTTACTGCACTTACACCCAGATGAGGTCAATCAGCTTGTTATCCTTCACTTTTCTTTCATGAAACCTAGAAGGATTCTTGAAAGCTTCGTTTAGATTGGATTAAATTAATATGTCCAGCAAGTATCATCAAATTACCAACATTTTCAGCCACTGTCACCTTTTCCTGTCTCTCAGACTTTACATCTTCAGAAATCCTCATCTTAAGGACAGAAGAACGGCTTTCACAGGGGCTTCTGGGCAATTTTGAGTGCAGAGGATAAAATTGCCAAATGGAGTCGTACTAAAATAGCAAGAAACAGCTGGTTTTCAATTCTAAATCATTTTTCTGTGTTAGAAAAGTGGTTTTTTGCCAAGTAGCATGATGAGATTAATCCTGTTCCACCCGAGTAGGTGCCTGGCTTGGCTTCTTAGACCCAGGTTGCCCTTGTCTGGGACTCTTCCCACTCAGGCAGAAGCTGCTGCCCAGCCCCACTTTACAGCCTGTTTGGAGTGCTGGTGTGAAGTGGGCGTGATACCTGTGGAGGATTTTACCTGCTGTTAACCAGCTTCTCACTCGGCTCCGTCGGCTCCGTCGCCGCACGAGTCTGTAGCTGGGATCAGTGTGGTGAATCCTGGAGCAAGTCTGGAGAGAATCAATCCACAGCTGCTTCTGTGACTGATGGATTTGGAATGTGCCTGGCTGGGTGTGGAATTGGCACAAGGTTCTGTGACACCTAAAGCACAACTGTCTTGTAACAGAACTAACGGTGATACTGTGCTTTGTTGGGTTTTTTTTCTTTTAGTGCGAGAAGAAGGTGAAAACGACGGTGTTGACTGCTGCCCTTCTGCTGTCTGGAATCCCTGCAGAAGTGATCAGTCGCTCCATGGACACCTACAGCAAAATGGGAGATGTTTTCACAGACCTTTGTGTCTATTTCTTTACTTTTATCTTTTGCCATGAACTCACTCTGTTTTTTGGTGCTGAAGTACCGTGATGGCTGTAGATGCGTAGTTACACTAAAGCTTTCTGGACTGTATTCCTTTAACGTCTGACTGTGCAGACAGGTTTAAAACTTCATTAAAATTCTTGGAATGCTTGAAAGGAGCCTTAAATTCGGTCATTTTGGGAAAGGAAGAGCAGGGTCCCAGACTGCCAGTCCTATTGGTTCAGTTTATTTAAATCCTGTGCCTGCCTGTTACAAATGTGAAGAATAGGATGCAAATGTCAGTGGATGGTGTATTTGGTGTAGATGATGCCCTTCTCAGCCTCCCTCATAAACATTTACAAAGCTGCCTTTGTTCTTCTCAGTGAGAACAAAGAGAATTCCTTTCAGCAGAACCGTAGGTATAGCCAGGATGACTATAACTAACAAGAACTGCTCATTTTGTGGTGGTCCCTTTTTTTTTTTTTTTTTTTTTTAAGCAAGCTCTAAATAAAAGAAATCCCCATATTCTGTTGTTCCGATTCAGAATGTTGAACCAAGTAGCTGCTTCTGGAGAATGTTGATGAAACATGCTGCTTGGTTGTCCTGACCCTTGCCTTGCTCTACATCGTTTGTTGTGATTGTGATTAATTTCATTCGATGGTTATGGTGCAAAGCAGCTGAACAAAACCAACAACAAAGCCCCATTGCGTAGGGATGTCATTCATCAAAAAGTAGGAAGAAACGAAATTGTTCATCTCAGCGGTTTGTGGGTTTCCAGCAGCCTGATCCTCATGTAGCTCCTACATGTGCTGTCATTCTGTTGCCTTTTTGTTGTTGTAATGGTTCGTCTCACGAGGGGAAAGTTGTATATATATATTGGCAACCAACCTGCACTAGCAAGTGTTTGCTCTAGAATGTGTAAAACTTAAAGGGAACTATTCTTTTTTTTCTAGCTCCTTGCAGGATTGCATAAGACGACTTCTAATATGACTTTAATTTTTGCAATTTGTCTCTGTATATTACTAGACATTTGCATGTAAACAGGATCTTAATGGTGGAGGAGTTGGGCTCCTGCTGTGCCATCCCGCTGCCCCGCAGTGCCCAGCCTCTGGGTCAGCAGAGCTGTTTGTGTCGGCTCTTCTGGCGGGGTCTGACATGGCCCCTGCAGCCCTTCCTGTGGGAACCCTCCAGGCTGCAAGTGACCATGAAAGAAAACCCAGCGCTTTGAGTTGACTCCCACACGGACACCTCTGCATGATGGGGGAATAGCATGTTGTGGGGTTTTTCCCGAGGATGTCCAGCCCCAGAGGTGAAAAGCTGAGAGAGATGCAAACGGATCCTGTCGCTGGATGAAGTAACTCGCCTCTTGTTCTCGACGGCATGTGGATTTTGCACAGTGGGAGGAAGGAAGCGTCATTCCAAATAGCTTAAATGCTATTTCTGCTGAAGCTAAATTTGGGAGTATTTTTAGTTTGTAGTTTTCTGTTTAGAATCTGGACTTTCAGGTAATCTGGGTCAACGCTTTTTTTTTTTTTAGGGAAGTATCTGTTTGTCTTGGTATGTGCAGAAATTTTTGGGGGGAGCAAAAGTGTTGGATTATTCCTCTTTAAAGTAAACAGCCCTGCTTTCTGCTTATTCTTTTCTGTTAAAGCTTCCCTCTATAATTTGAGCGCTGCATTTCTGACTCACGAGTTAGATCTATGTTTATTTGTGGCATGAAAACAAGAAGCTTATGTTTTAATTGGACAATTTCTGTGTTTTTACTGATTATTTTACAGTGAGTATCGTGTTGCAGGTGTCCAGGGCTGGGCTGCAAAAGATTCTGACTTAGGTCTGTTACCACCAATATTTATTCGGAAGCTTTAAATTTGTTTATGTTAGACAGGAATTTCATTAAATTGAAATAGCTGTCGTTTAAATTAAGGTTGAGCTATGTAAATAATGAGTTTGCTTATAAGTTACACTTGTTCTGACTCTCTATTTGTATGCCCAAATGTATTATAAATAAATTGCAAAAATACTGTGTACTAACGTCTGAAAAAAAGCAATGACTTTTAATTCTCAGCATAAAATTTTTTATCCTAATCAGCTAAATACTAACAACTGAGCTGACCCCCCTGCTGCGTGTTCCCTCATCCCCTTGCACCATCCCTCTATGCAAGGAAAGGTTAAGGGGGTTTTCTTCTAGTGGTGAAAGAAATCTTGCTGTGAGACCTAATCTGGAGCTTTTCAGCCCGTAAATGCTTGGTTTTGTCCGATGGCTTCGGGGTGGGCTGGAAAAGCCTGGGGTGACCGGGGACGGTGCCAGGAGGGGCTGGTGCTGGGGGACGCTTCTTCACCCTTGGTCTAGAAATGAATCCCTCTCATTCCGTTATTAAGTTATCTCTGTTCGTGTACATAATGCTGTTTAATGTTTATTGCCAAACCGATTGTTTTCTATTAAAAATACATTTGTAACCCCCTTCCTTGGTGCTTTGTCCTGGCTCGGGAAGAGGCTCGTGGCGCAGGGCGGGCACCTGGCACCGGGAATCACGTCTGTGCTGGGCTACACGGGCAGGGCTGAGGCCTTTGCCCGGCCGGTTGCGATGAGCGGG